CAAAGTTGATGCTGTTGATGATCCTGAACTGCTGGAACTTGTGGAGATGGAGCTTCGGGGTGCGCCAGCTTTTACATTTTTTGCTTCAGTTGTATTATTACTTCTGCAGAAGCTGAAGTCGTGGTAACTGGCAAGCTGTCATTGCGACTTCGCTATGCTCATTTTCTTACATGAAATTTTCTTTCTTGCAGAACTGCTTAGTTTCTACAAGTTTCCTGGAGATGAAATTCCGATCATTCGTGGTTCAGCTCTTTCTGCTTTACAGGGAACTAACGAAGAAATTGGAAAGAAAGCTATTTTAAAGTTAATGGAAGCTGTAGATGAATATATTCCTGATCCAGTGCGTCAGCTTGACAAACCATTCTTAATGCCAGTAGAAGATGTATTCTCAATTCAGGTAATCTGATATTCTACTAGCTCATGCTTAGCCGGAGATTTCAAAAACTATATTGCCCTTCTTGGACTAATAAAAAAACTATATTGCTCTTTTCATTTTTCTTTCTGGTCTCTGAAATTATACTTCATTTCAATTCAAAGTTATCTCTAATTGTCAGTGGGCTGTCTATGCATATGCTTTTACAACCTTTAAAACCAGTGAATAGCAGTCTTATGTTTTTGGAGATAACTCAAAAGGCTAGTATGACTGGGATTGTTCTTGTCCTTCTTGGAGGAAAATGCTGTGCTCTCTTCAGTGCTGAAAATACCATATACTCGTGCAAACCGTTATTTCTTCAGTGTGTCCTTTATACTGTGATGGCATCCTCCATGTTGCTTATTTTAGAACAATCCTCTTGCTCCAAACAAAGTAGAAAAAGAAAAATTCTGCTAGCGTTCGCAGTCCATCTTTCGACTTAAAGAGGAAAAAACAAATTAATGCTTGAACCTTGTCTCTAATGTACTAATCATTTGCTGTTAATGTTTTGAAGGGACGTGGAACTGTTGCTACTGGCCGTGTTGAACAGGGACAAATAAAAGTTGGAGATGATGTGGAGATCTTAGGGCTGATGCAGGTTAGCTGTGTTCTTATTCTATTACCTATTTTATTTAGGCGGAGGATATATTGGTTCATAATGCGACTCAGATTTCTAGTGCTAATGATCTAGAGTTGGTTCTCCCTTTTCTATCTGGTTACATGGAATCCTGAGGACGACTGACGCGATGCCTGATCATTAGCCACGTTAATTTCATTTAACACGAAATTAAATTTTAAGAATAAGTTACATAAGATACACCCTATTAGTGCATAGTTAGATTTTTGGACCCCCAATAATAACAAGTTTAGGTTGTGGTAACTACTATTATAATGCTGAAGATGCTTGGTTTAATCTTAACTTGCTGTGAAGCTTTGACAATTGTGTTTTGTTATTTGGTTGATTATTGCCGGTATGTGTTAAATTATATTATTGTGCTTTGGTATTAGAATTATGATTATGCTTTTTGTAGCATGTCCGTATAATCTGTTTTGTTTCATAGGGCAATTTAAAATCTACAGTGACTGGTGTTGAAATGTTCAAGAAGATCTTGGATCATGGACAAGTAAGTATCTGAGTCATTCCATATGGCTTTTTAAGAGCTGTTTTCATACATCACTTATTGTTTACTTTTATACTGTTTTATTTCTTACTTAGGCTGGCGATAATGTCGGGCTTCTTCTCCGTGGATTGAAACGAGAAGATATTACGCGAGGAATGGTCAGTCAGAATTTACCACTCTCCGTGTTATTTGACTGCGTTTTTATGTTAGGTTGTTGTAAGAGAGTTGTTTACCTGTAAAAAGTTGAAAAGTTTCCTCCTGTTTTTATTCCTGTTTTACATTTTCCATTGGCTGCTTGCTTGTTTCTCCTTGTTACATTTATTAAAGTAGCTTGTTATCCTGATAGAACTGCACAATTTTTGTTACGTTGTTTCTATTTACCTTGGGGTACTTGTTCAAATCTGATAATGTGATGTTTCATGAAGTCAGAAGTCTGCTATATTAACTAAATAATGTAACTACATACATGTGTATTTTCAAGCATCCTATACTGCATATTGTTTATAGGTGATTGCAAAGCCTGGTAGTGTGAAAACGTACAAGAAATTCGAGGCAGAGATATACGTACTAACAAAGGATGAAGGTGGTCGCCACACTGCTTTTTTCTCAAATTATAGGCCTCAGTTCTACCTGAGGACTGCTGATATTACTGGTAAAGTGGAGTTGCCTGAAAACGTCAAGATGGTTATGCCGGGGGATAACGTTACTGCTACTTTCGAGCTGATATCTCCAGTTCCTCTTGACGCAGGTCAGTATATTCTGTAGCTCCTTTTGCAATTTTGCTTCTCTGTTGAGTAAAGGTTCCTCCCCAGTTGCTGTAGTTATTCTTCTTTTTTCTCCCCTTGGAGTTGCATAGTGATACTATTTTCAAGTTGCCTTCCTGTTAACCGTGATGTACATCGAAATCCATTTATTACATAGCTTTTTTAATTTAATTCTGCCTACAAGGTGCAAGATTTTGGTTTATATTGCAACTTAGCATTGAATCTTTTTTCTTCTTTTTCCCTTTGTTGGTCAAAGCGATTGTTCAAGAAATTAGAGCCAAATGTTGTTTCTATGGTCTTTGCGTCTAGAAAAAATAAACTGATACATTCAGTGTCACTGATTATATGGCTAGATGGCGTTGGACTTGCGTTCGTTTTAATTTCGAGTAGAATTGTTCTCCTGCCCACATGTATCAAATGCTGAGTAGAGCATACCCAGTATGTGAGGCTGCCACAGTTTCGAAATTAAGGGCAGTTATTTAGTTATATGCTGACTCTTTGGCTGCATTGTCGTTTTTGTTTAGAAGTTTCAACGTGCTTCAATCGCAATAATAAGGCAGAATACATAGGTAGCCCCCTAAACTTGGCCATTTTTTTCATTTGGACACCTAAACTAAGGGTAGTACCTATTGAGCACTTTAAGTTGAGATAAATTGTGTCAATTAGACACACACTGCTGACATGGCAGTGTGTATAACACACCACTTGTGTTGAGCACGTGAGAAGAAGCAGATTCCCTTTTTCTATTTTGCTTCAATCTCCTTCTTCCTCCTTTGTGCTGCGCCATCTCCACCACTATAACAGTTGCTTCACCACCGTCATGCTTCCTCCACCACTATGCTAATCAGAGACCTTTCAAATTCAATCCAGTGACCAGAAAATTACAGTCAACACTAATTTTTTCTTAAGAATACACTTTACATTCAATTAAAAAATGGTCAATTAGGAATGAGATAGGCGTTGACCGTCGCATCGCCACCACACCACCACCGCAAAGCCAAAGCCCCAACCAAAACTCACCTGAGGACATAACGGGCACTAATAGGCCTGTGCAGGACAATTGTAAGCAGTGATGGAGGCTCGCGATTTTTGGACAAAGCTACTCAAACACCCTTCTGGTGAGGGAACTACTGGGATAATAGTAGGTTTGGTTGCTACTAGTAGGGGTAGTATATATTGGGAGAAGGCCTTCTCAAACATCACTATTTTCAGATTTAAAAAAAGAAGAAAAGAGCAGCAACAACAATCCATCGATGATGTAGAGAAGATGACAAATCCATAAGTACTTGCTGAAAATTTGCAACGGATGGCAGCTGAAAATATAATGGTTAATCAGAAAGAGTTGTTGAGTTGTGAGCTCTCAAATCTCGGCTGTAATTCCAATAGCTCCGGCGGTGTTCACTGGGAAAATGATGGTGGAAAAAGTGACGAGTCTTGTCCTTCAATTTTGGTTTTTTTCTTTAGTGACGTGTTTTTTTCTTATTGGTCCTGCTTGCCACGTTGGCAGCAAGTGAAATACACACTTTAGTTTGCTTGAACTTCAAAATATGTGTCTAGTTGACACAATTTGTGTTCCAATTAAAGTGCTCAATAGGTACTACCCATAGTTTAGGTGTTCAAATGAAAAAAAGGGCCAAGTTTAAGGGTCTGCCTATGCATTCTGCCCAATAATAAGGTCATGTGAAATTGTATGAATGCCGCATCATATTATGCATGTTTATGTGCTTAAGGATGGATATCTTAGTTTTCCTAGACATCTGATTGTTATTCATTGATGGAATAAGTATTTCTTCGAGTCTCCTTTCTGCATTTAATTACGACTTCTTGTAAAAAGAACATATTTGAATAGTAGACATCTGAGTGTTTCTATTCCATCTACCTGTAACTTTTCAGGACAAAGATTTGCCCTGAGGGAGGGTGGCAGAACGGTTGGTGCTGGGGTTGTTTCCAAGGTGCTGAGCTGAGGTTCGAGGAAAATGCAAACTTACGTTTCAGTCTGGTTTTGTCTCAAGAGGGGTTGACGAAGGAAAATTATATTGCTGCTTGCGGAAATACAACACACGTGACGATTGCTAATGTGGTCATCATTTGACGCAAATATTTTTTTCCTGTTGCAATGGTGAGAGAATCCATGTGTCTTGAAATTGAATATATTGGAGGAAGGAGTCCACTTTGTAGCATCTTACAGTTCATAATTAAGCAGTAATTGCTCTAAATAATAAACATATTGGTGTAGTGAACTATGGTTTTTTGCATTGACGAGGAGCTACATGCTAATTGCTTTGTGACACAATTGTACTAGGCAATAATTCGCAATATCGAACTGTTTGCTTGCATTCTCTCAGATTAGCCTGAACTACTGTTGATTACAATCTTGTGTAGTACCAGAAACTTAGGCGACAGTAGCGCAGAAGTGAGATGAACCTCCATCTTAGATTATCCAAAAACTACTTCTTGGAAGCCCTATACTGATCAGTGTTTTTAAGTTTTTTATTTCAGAAAACGGGAGTTGTATGCAGTGCCATTGAATCCTTCATAGGAAGATCCCTTAATCATCTTGGCATCTCAATTAATTAGGAATAAACCACTTCAGGAATATAGTTGGATTGAGAAGGCAATCATGGTATTGTCAAGACTCAAGAATATGCAGCCTGAAGGGAAAAGATGTTTACCTTATAAGCACAACCTTTTGTGGCCTCAAAATAAGTTATGCAACTTCGTCTGAATGTATTAAAACTAGGCTCCTGAATATAATGTCAAAACTCTTTCTTATGGTCCCAATAGCTCAAAACTCTTGTGCTCACCTTATTCAAATCATTTTACAAGACAACCCGCTACAACACAAACTGATGAGCAGAAAAAGCTTGAGCTATGTTACTCACTACATATATATTTGGTGCAGTTAAAATCCATTTCCGTCTGCTCAGATACTATATTACAATTGGACGTCCCAAAACCAGCTACTACTAATATCATCCCCAAGTTGCCCTGATCTTTACACTCTAAATCTTGTGTTCTTGAAATCAAGCAAGCCTCAGCACTACAACTGCTAACAAAGTTGCAGCTCTGAAGTAGATTTCCTTCACATTTTTGTCCAGATTATTCATCATGTCCTCTTCTACCATATCCAACTTGCCTGGACTTCTGTTGATTACAACAACGGTGTCCCTCAAATTATTGACAGCCCAAGAGAGCCATACAAGTCCAAGGCCTAAACCAGTGTTCAACAGTTTAGGTGTAGAGAAGGCAATTCTACCACAAGCTAGTTTGCAGGCAACAGAGAAAAGGACAGCTATGCCGGTTCCAGCAATGCTAGCTGAGAACTTGGTCAGAATGTAAGGTAGTTGAGGCCCCGATTTCTTCAATGAAAGTATTGCAGTTTTCCCATGCCGTTTCTTGTCAACCATTATGGACAGAAGGCTTTCGCATGCATGGAGATAATTGTTTCTGTAAATATCTTGCTCTTTAACTGCCTTTTTGTTGCTTCTTTTCTGGGTTGATGTCTGGTACTTAGTTTTCTGAGGACTGTAAGAAAGTATAAATATGTGAGAGAGGATGATTTTCCCTGTGGAAGCATAAACTAGAATAGCACGAAATTTAATGCTCATGCAACAGATTGCTGCTGAAACTTTTTTCCTCCTATAAATATGCCAAGTACAGCAAACACCTCACATGGCTCAAATTCATTTAAAAAGTGTCTGAAAATTGTGATAAGGCTCCTATATCCTTGAATCCATTTCCCTCTTCATTATGTGCAGTAACTATGAATGCTTCCAGCAGAAATATGCAAGTCATTGTGAGGTGGTTTTGTTAGACGTTTCAAGTAGAGATACAGCTCCACGACCAAAGACAGAACTACTGCAGAGTTGAGAATCAATTAGCCTAATATGAAAACCTAGATCATACATCCATCTGAACATATGCTTCCATAGTTTATCTCCATAATAATAAACTCTTTTTCTTTGTCCAATTACCTTATTTAGCTATTTTTTTCTTACTTAACATATTCCGCTAACATTTGTTCTCTAAGATTTGAGGTCAGCTTAGAGTTACCAGTCAAATAATCATCAAAAATGATCAAAAAAGTGAAACTTCAAATCATAGATTAAATGTATCTATGAATTAGATTTCCATATTAAAACATCATTAGATAAAAAAACATAGCTAAGAAAACAAAGTACATGTGAAATTTCACGTGAGATGCATAAGATACCTGCTTATAGATGCTGCATTCACGTCAAGCTTCTGAGCAGAACTTTCACCTTTAGCCTTTGACATTCTGCATCTGCACAGCAAACAACTTAAGTTAAACCTTGAGGGGCTACAGTCAATCTATCAAACAAAGATGCAACATTTTCAGTTCTAAACAAAACTTTTAGTTTGGTGAATAGCTAACCTCACTAGTCAGTGACAGCTATTTCTTGCATACAGAAATACTATTCTAGAGCAAATGACTGAACATGACTGAAAAAGCACCCCTGGTGCCCATTTAAGCCTAGGTCAAAGGGGCAGAAAGCCAGTTGCTAATAGCACCCATTCGGTACATCCCCAATCTCACAAAATTGATCATCCTTTGACCTTTTGTCTAACCAACTTCTGAAGCATAACATATCATAATTTCACCTCTCTAAACTATAGTTCAAACCAACAGATTCTGATAACTCCTTGACAAGTATAAAGCTGGCTCATTGCGCCTATGATGAAGCAAGCTTAAAATAGTTTCATTACATATAGATCGCAACAACTAGTAAAACACCTCCTACAACCCATCTCAACACGCAAGAAGCATCTACAAGGAGATGCAAGTCTTGAACCCTCAGCATAGCACCTCAGGGTAAATGGACATAAACCAGGGTATTTTGGGCACGCAATCCTATAGGATCAAATGGTTACATGCTCAGATTCTTATCTTTGCCTAATATAATCACCTCGGTTTTAGGACCTCTAACTGAATTAGGACATCTTTACACTTCTAAACTAGTTTGTACACTCCTTTGGTTAATCAGTGCATATGTATGATCCTTTCCCGTAGTCCTTTGGCTATTATCATCTTGATAGCATCATTGTAATTATGACTTGGGATGATATATGCCAAGTATATATCCGTTCATAATGGTAGAGGTTTTCCTTTTAACTCTCTAACTATTTCTCATTCAAAGTAAGTGTGTGATTGTTGTTGTTATTATTTCTCTTATATTTAGTGACAAACTTTGTACAACGGCAGACCTAAGGTATGCAGAGAGGAAAGAATGCATTTATGGGCTACACTGTTCACAATCAAGAAGAGTAATACAGAAGAGAAAGGTCTAACAAGTTCTATTTCAATAAGATGAACACATGAACGGGAAAAGACTTGTCATATCCACCCAACTTAATAAAAACTTTAGAAGAGGTGTTAAGCAAAAGGAAAACTATTGCTACCTGTCAAAGTAAGGAACCAGCATCGCTTGCTTTGTGCATTTCATTGAGTCCTTTGACAAGTAGAACTCAGAGATAATAGCAAGTATGTCCTTCATCTCAACCCTGGCACTAGCACCATTAACTAATAGAGGCCTATTAGAATGAAGTGTTTTCCTGAGTCCTAGGTCGCTTACCGCATTTAAAGAAGGTTCCCAGAGGTGGAGTGAACAACTTGGATAAACAAGAGATGGCTGAGACATAGCATCATGAGACTGTTGTTCAAGATAAGAAGCAAATTGTTGTCGATGCATGTCCACCGCATGTGCCAGTGGCCCCACAAGATCAAAGAGTATAGACGTATCTATTCCACCGCTTTCTGCATCATTTGAACCAGACATGAGGTACTTCCAAATCTTCTCCTGCCTTGTGCATTGTTCAGCAATACCAAAGCTGAAGAGCACCGAGTTCAACTGAGTGTCTGCGGGAAAAGATAGGCGTCATCAGCATATGCAGTATTTAAAAGATTTGAGCAGTTTCATGAACAATAATGGATTCAGTCTAAGATCATCACTAAATTAAAACTCAAAATTTAAGAGGAAGTGTGAGTTATGAACCTTGCACATCTACGAGTTCTGGCCGCCTAATAGTTGATTGGATTCTGACAAAGTGATTGCCCGCCAATAACATACTAATTGGTTTCCATAAATCCAGTCTCTGATTCACCTTTAGGCTAGCACAACTTAACTTCACCATATCTTGGGTTGCTCCAGGACTGGGAAGAAAAGGGAGACTTTCCTGCAATAAGAAAGAAAGGATAATGTTTAAGTAGTTCGGGGGTCAATTGATCAGTGTAGACCACTCTTTACAGGTCACTCATCATTTCTTCAATAATAGAGACGAATATTTATCAGCAGAAGGGCTTGAATACACAAGGAAGCATAAAATTAAAGAAGTTCAGAAATACTTAAGCGACTTCAAGTGCAAGTCACTTTGAACCCAGCATTACACCAGATCCATAAACGATTAGAACTCTAATTGCAATATGCTCCTAGTCCTAGGACTGGAGTAGGACAACAAGATGATAAGCACAGGATATCTTCCTTTAGAGCTGGATAATAAGTGTTACAACAACTTTTGATTGCACTCCAGGCTTGAAGGAAGCAAGGAAGAAAAGAAAATAGCATTACTCATCTTTTCATGTCAACCACCTTAGCATATTCTGGAATCTAAAAATGGAAGCAGAAAGATGTGTGTGTGTGTGTGTATGTTTGCGCGTGTCTGTGTATTATTATAACAATAATTGTTAATAATCTGTACATATATTTAAGAGGTGTACCCGCTACCGGATTCTATCTGCCACCTGACCCCGAAAGAGGAACCGTGAGTCTATGACTGGACTCATTAACACCATCTAATTCCGTCACTTTAATAAAAGAAGGATGATCTAGATCAAACTACATCATCCAATCTAACTTGTTAGAGATGATCATATTATTATCCCGTATCAAATTACATAAACCCATTTACCCTAAGCCCGGAGGTTTGGACAGAAACAAAAAGACATTAACACAAAAATCAGCCACAATAAGAGAGCACATACTATCAATCAATCAACTATGCCTCAATTCTAAACAAAGTTGGGATCAACTACATGAATCCTCCATAACCATTCCGCTCTACTCGAGCCCAAATCATACCAATACTACTTTGCTTATAAACAGTACCAGCCAAAGTAAACTTCGACAAAAGAATTGTTTTCACGAACACACATAACAATAACAACAACTACTAAGCCTCGATCCCAAACAAGTAGGGGTCGGCTATATGAATTCTTCACTCTTTCTTTACTAACCACGTTACTCTATTTAAATCATCTCATGCCAACATTATGCAAATACAAATAATTTACAAATTATTTTCACCAACACACACCAAGAACAAAATCAAATACCTACAAAACATACAAAGTTGAAAGCTTTACCTTGGAAAACCTGCTTATGCCCTGTTCTGGGGGGAATAAAAGCCAAGGCGGATAGCCATGAGAAGCCATAAGACAAGTTTCAGCCATTTTTGAGAGAAACCCAGTTCAGAAACCTCTTTGTCTAAAGTTTCTGATCCTAAAATCTCTCTTCTTTAAGCTTTAATTTGATAGTCACAGCATATGGGGCTTATCCTGCTACTCACCGCAAGTTCCCTAAGATTTTATTGCAATTTGGTGGTTTTAGAAATTTGAAGCCTGTGGCGTGATTGGCCTTTGAGAATTTTGGTGGGTTACATCTTTGGGCTTTGGTTGGATTCTTGAATCAAGACAAGAATAATAGGTTTCGACTTTTTCTATATTTTGGATTCTTCTGGGACCTCCGTCTGTGGTGGTAGTTTCAGCTACCACCCGATTGAAAGATTGTTTGGTTTTAATGGGATGATCACAGCCGCCAAAATTCTTAAATCATTTTCATAATTTGCTTGCCACACAAATTACGGTAGCAAGTAATCAAGTGATGTCCTTATCAAAGTCAAACAGAGCGTACACAATGTGGCTTAATACTTTCTGCAAAGTATATCATATTTGAGAAAATGACAAAATAATCTCTTATGTTTAGAGTAGATTCAAAATAATTCCTTAAATATATTCATAGACAGTTTGGTCCTTTAAGTTTGTTATAAGTCTGCACTTTTGATCTCCGTCTAATATTTAACAAACTCTGGCGGTTAAATTTAGTGAAAATACTGAGAAATAAGATTTAACCATAAAAAGCGGAAAAATTCGGTCAGATCTCAAAATTATAACACACACTAGAAATAGATTTAAAAAATATCAAAAATTACACCTAAAAAGTTGCACCAAACTACATTATGCTGCCTTCCCTCTCTTTCCCTCTCTATATATACTCGTTTATAAGGGACACAATTTAACATGATTACTGCTTTACACTCTTTTTTCAGGTGTGGCTTCTTATTCCTAAACGCAGCAGGCCACACGAATAGTCGAACAAATGAGAGGTTGTCGACGAAGGGGTCAAAGGTTGCGCAAGACCCCTTCAACTTCGCCCCGCGTGTTAGCTTGCTTGTATTATTGCTCGCATGTCTAACCTGCTTTCTAGCAAGTGCTACCCTAACCTAGCTAGCGCTTGCAAGATTATTGGAACAAGGTTTCGACAACGTGAAGCAGTGCGGTAACACTTCTCCTTCAGAAGTAAGAAAAAGGACTTCAGCCCCATCTTGACGAGCAACACCATCAAAGTACATCTTCCATGATGGAAGAATTTGGACCACAAGCACATTTTCATCAAGCGGTCAAAAAATTCCCATTTGGCAGGTATTGGGTCAAAGATTACTAGATCAAAATAGCCAAAACTAAAAAAAATAACACCTCCAAATGTTAGTTCAGGTTCAATCTTTTTTTTCCTCATAATTCTTGTTAAATTTAAGGCAGAATAACCTAGTAAATATTTGTATTTATGCTCTCGTTTGTCTTCCCGATCCCTGTATACAATGAGGTTTCATTGAGACACTTATAATTGTTCAAAGTCAGTATTTTGAGCCCCTTTGACCATTGATCATGCATATGTGACAACTTAATTGCTGAGTTGTACAAAATGCGTATATTTCACGTGTACAAAGAGCGTGATTATAAAAATTTAGAATAATTTTTTCTTTTAAAAAAAATTAAATAAACATAGTAAATTTCTTTCTCTGTTTTACCCCCCCCCCC